CCTCTCTCCCTCCCTCCCTCCCTCCCTCTCTCTCTCTCTCTCTCTCTCTCTCACTCACACACACACACACACACACACACACAAACACACAGAGGCAGGGGTGGTATTCAAATTTCTTAACAACCGGTTCTGTGGGTGTGGTCTAATTTGTGCGTGTGGCTTGGTGGTCATGTGACTGGCTAGGCATGGCTTGTATGTAAGTATTATAAATATTTATGTAAATATTGATTTTTTTATAAAAAAAGGACAACTTTTACCCAAAATCAGGCAAAGCAGGCAGGCAGATTGAGTTGCTCACAGAATCACAGATTCATTCAGAGATCTATCTATCTGCCATCGGCTACCTGAGTCTGCCACATAAAATCTGCTGGCAAGCAAACTTATAAAATTTGCTAGCAAGCAAACTCACAAAATTAACTTACAACACACCATGTATGTAAATATTGAATTTTTTTATTAAAAAAGAGCAACTTTTACCCTAAATCAGGCAAAGCAGGCAGGCAGATTGAGTTGCTCACAGAATCATTCAGAGATTTATCTATCTGCAATTGGCTACCTGAGTCTGTCACATAAAATTTACTTGCAGTGAGTCTGCACTGAATAATAGAAGCTTCAGTCCTAAGGAAGGTTCGGCTCTTACTAATCTTAAAAGCAGAGCCGAAGATCTAAAGACTAGCTAGAAAGCAAGAAATGCAAAGATTTCCTGCTTTCTAGCTAATCTAAATCTTCCGGCACAACAGTACAGCTGATGGTCGGGGGAAAAAAAGGAAAAATAGCAACTTAGCAGGCAAGTTTGCCAGGTAAGAGGTGAGTAAGCGAGGAGGGTTCCCGCAGGCCATGTGGGCGGCACAGCCTTGTGTTCCTGCGCAGCCTGGATTAATTGCTTTGGGGGGGTGCTCTGGGGGTGACATTTCTCTGCGGACCACCAAAATTTTCTCACGGACCACCAGTGGTCCCTGGCCCACCATTTGGCAATTGCTGGTCTAGATCAGGGGTCTCCAATCTTAATAACTTTAAGCCTGAAGAATTCTGGGAGTTGAAGTCCTCCAGGCTTAAAATTGCCAAGGTTGGAGACCCCTGCTCTAAATATCAGATTTCTTGCATGTCAGGCCCCAAAGCAAAAATATAACATGGTGATTCTTCCAAGCTGAGTTTTTCATTATTATTATTATTTCACAGACAATTTAGCACTCCCATTGTGAAGGTATCTCACAAGAAAAATATATTTCACAAGTGAACCCTGCTGTCTTCATTTTGTTTCTCTCACACATTATATCTGGATTGAGTTCCCTCTTGTTCCTCCTGAATGCACCCCCTCCCTCCAGCAAATCCACTCCTTATTACATGCCATCCTATCTACTCTGTTCTCTGCTAGTCAGGAGCCAACCAGCTTTTCAATACAGTGGAAATTGCTATTTTATGACCTCTTTGCAGGGAGGCTACGCCTGGAGCAAACTTGTGGCAATCCTTGCCTTCCCCTTGATTGGGAGTGGAGTTTCAAAGAGCTTCTCTATTGATTGCAGCCATCAGATCTATGAGAACGGAGCGGTCTTCAGCCCTCCACCATTACTTCCCCTTGCCCCATATTTTCACCCTGGGCTATTCTATTCTCTGCTGTTCAGGAACTTTCATAATGGTCATGCTGTTGCTCCTAACATGACCCATTAAGACATGAACTTTCTTTGCTCTGTATTTTTCACTGTTCTGAAAGCTCCTTACTCCATTCGAACCTTACAGCTCTCGGGGGGCACCAATTCTATTTTTGCCCAGACTGAATGAAGTACAATCTCTTTCTTTGCTCTCTCTACTCACCCATAACAAATATTCCTAATCCTTCCTTTCACCCTACTATTTCAGTCGCAATGTACACTAAATCTATCAAGTTGTAATGCAATGTATACTAAATCTACTGCATTGATACTACTGCATTTCACCCCTACGGAACTGAATCATCTGTTCTTGCTTTTCTACTTCTAAATTCATAGAATTTTCTATGACCCTATTATGGAATGGAGATGAAAGACCAATATGCTCTCCTTTCGTTTGATTATGGAAGCATCAGAGCCAGAATGTATTTATTTACTGTATATTCTGCCTTTATTTATTTATACAAATAACTCAAGGCAGTGAACATACCCCATACTTCTTCCTTCTCTTATTTTCTCCACCACACCAGCCCTATGAGGGAAGTTGGGCTGAGAGAAAAGGACTGATGCTGACTTTCATGGTTTAAGATAGGACTATAACTTACTATCTCCTGGTGATTGCCCTAGTCACCCAACCGGCTTTCATGCCTGAGGCAGGAGTAGAATTCACAGTTTCCTGATGATTGCCCAAAGTCATCCAGCTGGCTTGTATGCCTAAGGCAGGACTAGAATTCACTGTCTCCTGGTTTCTCTAGCCTGATGCCTTCACTGCTAGACCAAACTGGCTATTGCACAATACAATAAGGGAACAACAACTCAATTAATACTGGATGGACTGAGAGGTACTGAAGGATGAGTATCACTGACAATAGACCATTGGAGCCCATTGCCTTCATAGACATTTAACTGTGGCTTTAATATATATTAAAATGTGCTTAGAGTTTTTATTAGAGGAATGACATAGGTTTCATTAAAGTGTGCTTTAATTCTGATTGAGAATAAAAGAATAATAGACTTGGAAGGATATTGGAGATCTTCTAGTCTAACCTCCTGCTCAGGTAGGAAAACCCTACACCATTTCAGACAAATGATTGTCCAATCTCTTTTTAAAAACTTCCAATGTTGGAGGACCCACAATTTCTGGAAGCCAATCGTTCCAATGATTAATTATTCTCACTGTCAGGAAATTCCTCCTTAGTTCTAGGTTGGGTCTCTCTTTGATAATCTTCCACCCGTTACTTCTTGTCTTGTCTTCTGGTACTTTGGAGAATAGGCTGACCCTGTTTTCCTCGTGGCAGCCTCTCAAATATTGGAACACTGCTATCATGTTACTCCTAATCAGGGGTGGGATTCCAATTTTTTAACAATTGGTTCTGTGGGCATGGCTTAGGTGGTGGGTGTGGTTTGGTGGTCATGTGACTGGGTGGACATGGTTTGGTGGTCATGTTATTGGCTGGGCGTGGCCAACTCAATATCACTCACATCGAGGCACACATCTCCTCACCTGGCCTCTCAAGACTGGGGATACTGCAACAGTCGTAAGTGTGAAAAAGGGTCATAAGTCACTTTTTTCAGTGCCATTGTAATTTTGAATGGTCACTCCACACAAGCAAAGTGCCAGCAAAGGAGGGGAAAAAAACTCCAGAGAAGTTTCTGAGACAGGAAGTCTAGTCCTGCCAAGAATGTAATAAGGGTTAACGGAGAGGCAGTTTCTGTAAGCAACACCAGAATGTTTCCTTCCTGCCTTCCTTACAGGATTAGGCCAGTAATTTCTTCTAACAACCGGTTCTCTGAACTGTTTAGAATGTTAACAACCAGTTGTAGCAAATAGGTGCGAACTGGTAGAATCCCACCCCTGCTCCTAATCCTTCTTTTCTACTAGACTAGACATACTCGATTCTTAGAACCATTCTTCATATATTTTTGCCTCCAGGCCTCTAATTGTCTGTTGCTCTTCACTGCACTCGTTCCAGAATCTCAGTGTCTTTTTTATAATGTGGTGACCAAAACTGGATGCAGAGTTCCAGGTGTGATCTTACTAAAGCTTTATAAAGTAGTATTAATAATTCATGTGATCTTCACTATATCCCTCTGTTTAGGCAACCAAGGATTGCATTAGCTTTTTTGGCTGCTGCCACACACTGCTGACTCATATTTAAGTGATCGTCCACTGTGATTCCAAAATTCCTCTCACAATTACTCCAATTGAGCCAGGTTTCACCTAATCCGTACCTGTACATTTGCTTTTTCTTGCCTAAGTGTAAAACCTTACTTTTCTCTATATTGAATTTCATTTTGTTAGGTAAGGCCCAGTGTTCAACTCTGCTAAGATCATGCTGGATCTTGAACCTACTGGGATGTTGGCTATTCCTCCCAGTTTGTTGAGTTCCCTTTCTATTCCTTCATCTAAATTGTTAATGAGGATACTGAAGAGTCCTGGGCTTAAGACAGAAACTTGGGGTACCTCACTACTTACTTCCCTCCATGTAGATGTAGTTCCATCAGGACTATACATCGAGTGTGGTTTGTCACTCAACTTCTATCACTACTATTATGTCCCTGTCAGTGGTGGGATTCAAATTTTTTTTCCTACTGGTTCTGTGGGCATGGTTTGGTGGGCATAGCAGGGGAAGGATACTGAAAAATCTCCATTCCCACCCCACTCCAGGGGGAAGATTACTACAAAATCCCATTCCCTCCCCACCCCACTAACCTGCTTTCCAGCTCCGTTCTCCTGTGCAGGGCAACCAAAGAAGACTCAGACGATCAGCTGGGACTCAAGAGGCAGAGAATAGATGGGGGCGGGGCCAGTCAGAGGTGGTATTTGCCGGTTCTCTGAACTACTCAAAATTTTTGCTACTGGTTCTCCAGAACTGGTCAGAATCTGCTAAATACCACCTCTGGTCCCTGTCCCCAGAAGCCATAAATCTGGGCCAAGACAACCAGACAAGCCTATCTGATATCCAAAACAATACAACCAGCACCCCAAAATAGGTAAGGAAGTGGAGAAAGAATTGAATAAGAATAAAGGCAGCTGATTATATACCAGCACTTCATCTTATGTTCTCATCCTTACTATAAGGTAGCACCACAACAAACCTCATTCGTGGATCATCTGGAGGAGTCATCTCTAGAACATGAGGAGGCCCATTCAACACAACTGCATGTAAGGAAATGCTTGGATTTTCTGTCCCGACCTAGAAGGCAAAAGGAGAACAAGATGATAGTTAGGACAGAAAGTTACCATTCCATGATTTTCCTGTATTCAGAGGGGGGAATAGTCCATAAGCCACACTTCACAAAAAACGCCCTATTTTCCATCCCAACCCCTTTGATCCTCTGGTCATCTTGAAGCCCCGACCACAGCCTTGCTGGAAAAGTGACCTAAGCTCATTTAGCAACAACCTCATTTAATAACTCTTTGTCATGATGAAGGGGGATGATAAATTAACTTCGTGACCAATTCTTGCATTTATGACCTATGCAAGTCTGCATAGCAAAGGGAAACTGAAGACAGACTATGAGCACAGTTGTGCTCTGCACAACCGCTTTGCTTCGTGACCCAATTATGGTTGCTCAACGAGCACTGCTACTATTACAGATTGCGATTCTATAAATATGACCCTGAAGGCTATAGTTAAAATATCTGTTCAGAAATAATCTCGCTTTTCTAACTGCATTCAGTTAACTTTGAATTGTATCTCCCAGTGAAAAAAACCAAATCTTAAATGTTAGATGAATAGTAAAACCTATCCTACCTTTGGGTAATGATAGGCTTCTGCTTTGGGGTAAAGGCTTCCGGTGAACATGGGTATCTCCATTAATGGGACACGGGAGTCATTAATAGTCGCATAGGCTAATCTTGTGCCATCCGGAGACCACCAGTGAGCAATTTGGCTTTTCAGGATCTCTTCTAGAGAAACAAGAGAATTGAAAAAAAAATACTGTGATATCAAATCTGTTAGTTAACAAGGAAATGTAAGGATAGATTATCACTGGGAGGGTAAAAGTAATGGGCAAAAATATCAGAATCTTTTTTTTTAAATTGATCCTCATGAATGGCTTCCGACCTTGATGGATTTTCTTTGATGTTGCGTAAAATAATCTCTTCAAGAGAAGAAAGAAACATATCACTGTTGATCCCAATGATTCATGTATTTTGCTCAAGTTTGGAAGAGCTTACCCTTGCAGCATTAAATCGGGGGGAAATTCCACATACTACCAAATCGTTCACTGAAGTGTTCTGAAAGTGTTAGGATTTATCTTTTGCTTTGGGCAATGTACAGTCATGAAAAGTACAATCCAATGTTTTAATCGCTCAGTATGATTAGTTGTAGATCCTGCAAAATTTATCATAGCTTTCTAAAACCTTTGCTCAGGGATATGCTTTTAGAAGTAAACCTTTGGCTGAACTCTGAATGATGGGGATGTGTGGAATTCTCCTAAAATGTGGACTTTATTTGGGTAAGCACCATCCCACCCAGGTACCATGCTCCAAAAACTAATGGATGGGGTAAATTAAAACTAAATCTGCTTTGCCTTCATTTATATTTGATTAAAATTAAATGTAAATGGTATGAATACCCTCTGACCATACAGGATATACTTTTCTCCTTTTAATCTGTGAAAGGTAGTAAATTTTGGTAGCAATTTTTGCAGAATTTTGTGAGTGGGACATAAACCTGGGTTCATGCTAGGCCTTTCTGATATTTAACTTCTGCATTTTTGAACTTGAGCTCCCTTCAAATTCCTGATTATGCAGACATATAGGGCTAAGATAACTTGGATGAGTTTCATGTATGCATTGTTTGTTTGTTTGTTTGTTTATATGTATGTATGTGTCAGTGGTGGGATTCAAACTTTTTTATTATTGGTTCTGTGGGCATGGCTTAGTGGACGTGGCAGGGGAAGGATACTGCAAGATCTCCATTCCCTCCCCACCCCACTAACCTGCTTTCCAGCTCCGTTCTCTTGTGCAGGGCAACCAAAGAAGATCCAGCCAATCAGCTGGGACTCAGGAGGAAGAGAATAGATGGGGGTGGGACCAGTCAGAGGTGGGATTTGCTGGTTCTCCGAACTACTCAAAATTTCCGCTACCGGTTCTCCAGACCTGGTCAGAACCTGTCGAATACCACCTCTGGTATGTATGTATGTATGTATGTATGTATGTATGTATGTATGTATGTATGTATGTATGTAT